AATTCCTTAGTTATAAAAATGAAATATGAGAATCTTAAGAAGGGACCCCTTGGATGGTTCCTGACGTTTCTCTAAATACGTCACAAAATCTTCACTGCCCTGGATATATACATATGTTCCCTTGGACCAAATTTCTTGAGGTCCTTATGTCTCCAGTTCAGTTTCCTTTTGCTCTTCAAAGTAATTTACAAGAATGAATACTTTGCAGTTCTTTTGAGAGCTATTTGTTTTTGGCCATTTATTTGGGAAATGGCTATTAGTCATGTGTGTGTATTTCTTAGTTGTTTCTATATCTTAGACACCAAACCTTTACAAGGAAAAAATTTGATTTTTTCCCCCCATTTGACCACTTCCTTTTTCATCCTACATTCATTAATGTTGTCTTTTCAGTTTCAAGTAATCAAAAGTCACCTTTTTTATTTTTTTAACTACCTTTATCTTTTGTTTGGTTAAGAGCACATCTCTTGCCCAAAGCTGTGAAGAGTATACTATCTATTTCTCTTAAAATTTCTCTAACATTAAGATCAGATTTCCATTTAGAATGTATTGTGGAGTTGTATAAGGTCTTGATCCAAGCCTGATTTCTGCCAGATTGCTTTGCAGTTTTGTTTTTGTTTTTGTTTTTGTTTTTTGATCAAATAGAGCCTAATACTATTTTTAATGTGATGGATGGGCTTTTTTTCATAGTGTTTTTCAGAACATAGAGTATTGATAGTTAATGATTCTTTTAAAAACTACTAATGGAGATTGATATTTTGCCTTGTAACATACAGGAACAAACTTTTTCCATACAAACAAGATATTATGAATGTTAGTAAAATTTGTATTGCTGTGCTTGGCAAAACAGAAATCATATTGTTGACCCATGGCTAGAACATAGATTTTCAATTCCAGTTAAGTCAGTAGGCATTCATTAAGGCTTATTGTGTGTCAGGTACTGTGTATCATGCTGGGAATATAAATTGTCAACCTCCAGAGTTCTAAGAATGACAAACAGAATTAGGCTGTTATGGGTGTTTATTTCTCTTAAAGTGGGTGGGCTTGCATGCATGGGAGCTGCAGTCAGCTGAGCTCACTTTGGGGTTAGGCTGCGCATTTTATATACCTTTTCTGCAGGGGCTGATGTCACTCCATCATCATTTCACCCCTGGACAGAGAAACTATCTTTTTACCAGACCATTCCCAGCTATACCAGACCACTTCCAGCCTTGGGCTGTCTAGACCAAAGAATTTGTCTCTGCCCAAACTGAGTAGAACACTGAGGGTTTCCCCACTTTGGATTAAATTCCTTGCAAGGTTGGGTGTGGTCTGACCAAAGTTAAGAGAGTCAATGCTATCTCATTATCGGTAATGTCCTGAAGAAAAATTGAACTTAGTCTGGACTTTCAAAGAAGAGGGGAGGGTGAAGCACCTTGAACCTTCTCAAGATATTGGTTATTAATAATCATTTTTCACATTTCCACAAAATACAAGCAGAAAGTCCATGCCCTCAAGGAACTTAAATTCTAATAAGGTAAAATAACACATAAAAGGAAACTGAAAAGCAAGGGGTGTGGGAGAAGCTCATGTCTTTGCCCAGGTCTGCTATCTAAATGCTTGTACTGTGCCCTGGAAAGGGAGTTTAGAGTTTAGAGCCACAGTCAAAGATCTTGTACCCTGGATGAGGTGGGGGAGGCTGGGAATTGCCCTGTTTCTGTGTTTTACAGTTGTTAAAGAAATCTTTTTAAAGAAAACAAAGGGTTGACCTAATCAGTTAGACAAGACTTTGTTGTCTCTTATCCAAGGACAATAAATAGATTTTACAATAGTAGATGAGTCCATCTGCTTACTGTGTCACTGCATAGTTTGCTATTTTTTTTTATCTCCTTAAAGAGAGGTTGGAGGCTTCCCACTATTAGGTCACTAGGTGGTTGGGGATCAGTTTAGTCCATCAAGACATCACAGAATGATTGTGGTTCCTATTTTTCCTCTCAGTATTTCCTCTCTTTGATACTCCTCGTGGAGTATCACCAGATTTGGACTATTAGGTGTCTGTTGCTTTTTCTCTCATCCTATAGCAGTTTCTTTAACAATCATTATTATTTTTTGAGTCCATTATAAGTGTTTATCCTTCACTTATGTATTACAGTAGGCAGTTGGTTGTACAACAAAATAGGAAACTTAATTCAGTGGTGTTTATGGCAGTAATGAAACAAAAATATGTTAATATTAAATCATACAAAATTTTAAATCAAATCTAGCTCATAGGTACCTTTTCAAAAGGGTTGGAACATTGTAAGAGACCACAAGTATTAAAAATAACTTTGTAATCAGGGAGACAAAAGGGAAGAGGGCAGATATCTTAATATCTGTTTAAACAGCTAGTATCTTGTTCAGTTGTCTTGGATTTAGCTGCCTGCTTCATGAAGTTGTCTGCAGACGATCTGGTAAATATTTTTTCTCATCATAGTCAAAGGGATCTATTCTAGACCACTGACCACAAATTGTTCAATTTGCCCTGATTAAACTGAGACACATATCCATTAATAAACCAGCACCTTAGAGTTGTTTGTTTGCTTTTAATGTGGTATTAGTACCTGAGATGAACCTTTCCACCACGTTTCTGGGGGAAATTTGCAGATTTCTTTCTTTTGAATCTACTCATTTAAGTAATTATTCTAAGATGTCTCTTTTTCTTCATTTCTTCCCCCAAGAAAGATGTCCTTCAAGAAATGTCCATCAAAGAAAACTGTGTGTTCCATTTCAGTCTTATTATCATAAAAGGCCTTGAACAAGTGATAAAAGAAAGAACAATTCTCCTAGAATTAGCAAAGAGGTGCATGCTGGGTATGTGCAGGCCACAGTGTAGATCCAATTTAAAATTGCAGAGAAAAAGAAGAATAAAAGAGGTAGTCAAGGAAAATATGATAGAAGATGAACTAGTCCTTTGCTGATGTAAGAGTAAGGCATGACAAGTGGACAGCCAGAGTGCTCTGCTGCTGTCTTGGTGGAAATGTCAGGAAAATGTCTCTATCATGTTCGATGGACTTGTATGTGAATATCACAAGATAGACGGACGTGGATAGGTTACAATCTGCATCTTTGGAAGGAACTTCAAAATTGATGAGATCCCATTTGAATATTTGAACATAGTGTTTTGTGATTTCCAAGTTGAATCTTAGTTCTACTGCAGAATTAACCCAAAAAAAATTAGAATCTTACGAGGCTAACTTCAAAAATCTCAATTGCTTAACCTCAGATTATTAGTCCTGTCTTTTGTTTCACTTTTCCAAGCCTACAAACTATAATATTATGGCTACATGGACTGTCATATTTTCTTTGAGATAAGTCTCATGGCAGGCTAATTATTCTATTTATAATCTTTTCTTGCCAAGTGGGAACTTCTCAACAAAATTATTTATGGGTTGAATATTAAGTTATTTTTTCAAAACCTGTAAAGAGGAAACCAGTACAATTTTCTTTTAAAAATAATTAAGGGAAAAGAAAGTGAAGAGAATAGTCTATATTGCTTGTTCTAGTTAGAATGTTTTCATATTTTAGTTTTGTTTGATTTAGCTATAAGATTTTTATCATGTTAGAATTATATAACTGATCCTTATACTCATAGACCCAGGAAAAGATTTTTGTCAGGTTTTAAAGCATTCCTGTTATTGAAAAATAAAAATTTAATTGGAAAAAATAAAAGGTTAATTAGGTAGGAGGATTAATAAGAAATGCATTTTATTTATATTTAACATTTCTTTGTCCTTTTGTTTTTTGCTATAGTTCAGCCCTGCACACCAAAGGATTTCCTCTACATTTCCCAAAGGTCACCTGAAATACTTTGGCAGGCCACAGATTGTGCAGGCCTGCTATAGTTTGTGATATATTCTACTATATTAACCACCCCACCTCCACTTCCACCTGAACAAATACACAACCACACAGCATCTAGCAGATTATACTGCATTCTTCATCTATTCTCCACCTCTTTTCAAAAGAATGGAGATATATACCATTATCGCTTCTCATACACTGAAGACTGGTAATTATGATTAATAAGGTTTAGTTGCCTTCAAATGTTTTCCTTTTAAAATAAAAATGTTTTCCTTTACATTGTTGTTGTCATTGTGTATTTTGTTGTCTTGGTTTTGATTGCTTTGTATCAGTTTAGACAAATCTCTCCATGCTTCTAAATCTCTTGTATTTTATGTTTGGCCTTTGCATTTCTGTGTGTGTTGACTTGAGGGTTTTTTTCAGGTGGTGCTTTAAGACAAAAATAGGAGAAACCCCTAGCAATGGTCCCATTGGGCCACCAAGGCCATTCAGCCCCCTGGGTACCCTCTCTCCCTCAATCAAAAACCATCATCTCCAGCCTACTCAAGCCATGACTAGGCAAAAAAAAAAAAATCCTACTTCAAGTCCTCATCCATGTCTAGGAATCCCACCCGTGGTGCCTAGTCTAAAGAGAGGCTTTCTGGAATCCTACTGCAGTGCTTTACCCAGATGAGACCTGCTAAGTTCTCCACAAAATCCTCTCCTCCAACACATCCCTCTGATGTTATGCTCCCTTGCTCACCACATCCATTTTTGTTTTTTCTCATAGCTTCCCTCCAGCTTCCCCATTGAGCTCAGTAAAACACACACACACACACACACACACACACACTCTCTCTCTCTCTCTCTCTCTCTTCTCTCTCTCCTCTCTCTCTCTCTCTCTCTCTCTTCTCTTTCTAGCACTGGAACAAAGCCTACACTGAATATATGTAGTGGCTTCAGGATTCTATCTAGTTTTATTTAACTCTTTAGTTCTAATAGCTTTGGGCAATTTTCTTCAGTAATTCCATGAAATATGATCGTATTTTTGGTGTGCTTTTCAAGAAGCCCAGCAATTATTAAATTATCTTTCTTCCTGTTTTCCAGATCAGTTATTTTTGATAATAGTTATCTCATGTTCTAACAATTTTTCTGCCTTTTTACTTTGCAGTAATATTTTTTTTTCTTTTTCTTTTGTTTTTTAGGTGAGACAGTTGGGGTTCAGTGACTTGCCCAGAGTCACACAGCTAGTGAGTGTTATGTGTCTGAGGTCGGGGTTGAACTCAAGTCCTCTTGACTCCAGGGCCAGTGCTCTACCCTCTGCACCACCCAGCTGCCACTGCAGTAATATTTCTCGTGGCGTCTTTCGATTTTTAAGTTGTGTTATATCCTTTCTCTTTTTCATGATGTCTACTACTTTGCTAAAGTTTTCAGAATTCTAAGCTGTTGGATCTTCTACGATTATTCTCAGTTGTAATTTCGCCCTGTGTCTTTTCCTTCATTTCTTTTAGTAGGCCTTTCAGCCACTCACTCATGGCCTATTCTCATTTCTTTTGTTCAACTTTTGACTATTTTCTTCATTTCTAGTATGCCTTTATTGTATTAGGGGATCTTCATAGCAATAGCTGACAGAGGTTTCCCTAAACTCTGCCATTCCCCACTTTCATTTTACCCTAATATCTTTTGGCTCTGCAAGTGCTAAAGTTGCTGTCATGCAGATTTCTCAGAACAGGTCCTTGTGTGGGAGTGGAGGGTCATGTAGAACTTTTGGTCCCTAACTTGAAATGTACCTCAAGTAGAAAGTCTGTCTGATAATAGCTCCTGAACTCTTCCCTCCTATGGGAAGCAAGGGTTCCAGTTACAGAGGGAACAGATGCCAGATTGGGTGATCATACAGTCTTGATGAAAGCAGACAATCCCTAACCAAATGAGGAGGTGACTTCTGGGACCTCCTCATTTGGTTAGGAATTGGTTTGTAGGCTGGCAAGGAGTAAACTGAAGCCAGTAATATGGTCCTTAGTGGTGATAGTGGTTGTTTTGTCTTTTTGATGTGATTACCTTATTGGAATTTTTCCTTCAGTGTTCTTGCATAATAATCATGTACTGTAGAACAATTGATGGTTACCTATTTTGTTTTTCTGTTTTTGCCAGTATAAAAAGTGCTGCTAAATTCAGTTATTATAATAAATTAACTATACCTCTTCATATTTGATACATATGTCTCCCATTCTTTCTTTCATCCTTCTTTGGATTTTTCTCCTTCTTGTGCTTTCTTTCTTTCTTTCTTTATTTATTTTTGAGGCAGTTGGGGTTAAGTGACTTGGCCAGGGTCACAGAGCTAGTGTCAGGTGTCCGGTCTGAGACTCGATTTAAACTCAGGGCCTCCTGACTTCAGGGCTGGTGCTCTATCAAGACTCTGCACCACCTAGCTGTCTCACTTTCTTTTATTTTTAAAGTAATTGTTAGACGTATCCAAATCATGTTTTAGGTTTTATTTGGTTGCCTGTAGCTTCCCATGCATTTTGTTAATATTCCCTAAAGCAAGTGTACAAGTTATGATCATTTTTACCATCTTCTTTAAGATATCCTTTATGGCCTGAAATATTTCCCTTTCTCAATAAACTAAATAAGTTCAGGATTTTCAAAATTCTAAAACTATTAACTATCCGATTGTTTTTCTTGTCCTTTCAACTTGAATTGGTAAAAAAAAAAGATTTTTTTAAATTACAAAACTTATTTCATTGATATTTTGAACAAAGTAGACAAATATTTCTCACTAAATTGCCTTCTAATATACGTGTATTCAGAAAGTCTTGGTGCAGTTTTAAGCTTTGGGTGGTTTGTCAATAATAATAACAGCTTTATTTACATATTGTTTTGCAGTTTATAAAGCTCTTTCAAAGTGAGATCAAATCTATAGTATTAACATTATTATTTAGTGGAAAGAACATTAGATTTGTGGCCAGTGCCTCCTGAGTTTGAATCCAGACTCTTTTCAGTTACTGCTTGTGCAAATCATTTAATGTTTATGGTCCCTATTTTCCTCATATGTAAAATGAGATCATTGGATGATGATTTCTAAAGTTCTTCTAGCCCTCAGTCTATAATCCTGGTAAATTTTTACCTAAAGAGATGAAGATGTGTTAAATTTCGTGTTGCTAATTTTAAAATTCAAAGACTGAAAAGACATTGTGAAAACAAATATAAAACTGTTATATTAAGATAGGAGTATCATGTGTTTCTAATAGGGAATTCATTATGCAGATAAAGTATGAAATCATTTCATAATGTCATTATAAGGCTTGAGAATCTGTCTTTTAATGTCTGATGCTTTTTGTCTTTTAATTGATAACACTAATATTCTTGTTCATAGCTCTTGTTTTATAGTTTTCCTATGTATCCTCAAAAGTTAGGAAAATGGATCCTTTCAACTTGGGAATTGATACTCATGTCTTTCCCCTTAAATAAAATATATTAAAAGAATTTTCTGTTTAAAACATTTCTCCCCTTCTTATTATAGGACAATGAAAAGAGGACACCGTTACATGCTGCTGCTTATCTGGGAGATGCAGAGATTATTGAACTACTTATTTTATCTGGTATGTTACGCTCTATTTAATAAAAAGATGTGTTACAAGTTCCCATTTCACCTAACATTTGCCAAAGTAAGTTTTTTGTAAACAGAATATTTACCATGACTTGGTTCTTCATGTTTGTTTACATGGGCAGAGACTAATCCTATATTATCTTTTTAAAATGTAAGAGCATTAAAATTAAAAGAAGAAATGCTCACCCTTTCCCTTTCCCCTCCTCCCCTCATACCCCTTGCTTGAGCTGGCACTCTGATATTTGTAGGAAAGGAAAATTAGGACATAAATTAGTCTTATCTGAAGATTTGAGCTTATGAAATTGAAAATCACCAGCGTGGTTGATAACAGACTGAAATGTTTAACTGATCTAGTTTTCCATATATATTGACTTGATGCAGAGGTGGAAAGATACTATTGCTTTCTTCTCCTTCCTCTTCCCACCTTCACTTGCTGTCAACCAAATAGAATTAAGAACAGAATTCTTAGTAGTGAATTATTTACCCCCTCTTGAAACTTGTTCCATTTCTTCCCAGAATCCCTTTTTTTCTGAAATGTCATTTTATCACGTATAAGTTGGAAAATTTTGCCATACAACCATTTCCCAAAAAGATTTGTCTTCATTTTATTGAGCAATAGTAATACTAAAACCATTTTTAGTCTGATTTAATATTCATGGCCTAACATTGAGAACTTTGATTTTGGCTAAATTCTGTGTCAGTCTAGGCATATGTGACTCATATGATATTTACTTTTCTTGCTCTGAAGCATTTTAAAACTTAGCTTCCATATAGAGAAATTACATCAGAACTTGGTTTGTAGTTACTTTTCAAATTGTCAAAATTTGCACTATTCAGCTTCTTTTTTTAAGTGCCCTTTTACATTTAAAGAGTTAAACAACAGATCTTCACTTTGTATGTAATAGTCACATGTTGTGAACTTTTTGGATGTCACACCTTTATGACAATGAAGTCATCATTGGGTTGAAGTTTTAGTTTCCTTCTTCCTTTCCTCCCTTCCTTCCTTCCTGCAGTTGGGGTTAAGTGACTTGCCCAGGGTCGCACAGTTAGTTAATTGTCAAGTGTCTGAGGTCCTTTTTTTGAATTCAGGTTCTCCTGACTTCCAGGTCTGGTGCTGTATCCATTGTGCCACCTAGCTGCCCTGAAATTTGAGATTCATTTGAACAAGTAGCATCAGAAGTATCTTTAGAACACATACTTATGGATACACACACACACACACACACACACCACCCCCCCACCACCCCTCAGTGTAACAATAGACACCACAAAGAGGTGGAGATATTTATTCCAGCTACTGCTTTTAGAAAGGGAACCACAATTTTTTTTTTTACATTTCTCTCCTTATGACATAAAATAATCAAACTAACTGTGCTGGCAGTTACTTTATTTTCTTTTGGGGTTTTATTTTTATTCTGAACTTAAAACACTAAGTTAAGTAGAATAGAAAAAGATTTACTATCTCTTACATGTACCTTACTTTTCTTCAGAAATGTTCAATAAATTCAATATGTAACTTTCAAAGCTGTCCTGCTTGTCTGTGACTCTTTCTGGTGTACCTTCAGTTCTTCTGGATATAAAAAGAAATGTTTCAGTGGCACTCCCTTCACCCCTTTTTTTCCTCCTTATATTCCCGCCACCTGTTTCTTTCAGAAGCTTCCAATTTTTGTGGCTGGGTTGGCGGTATAGGGGAGAAAACAAAACTTTGCAACAATTATTCAGTCAAGCAATACAAATTCCTACATTGGCCACGTCCAAAAATATATTCTTATTCTGCATCTTGAGTACACGTTTCCTTCATGAGTCTTCTGGGACTGTGGTTGATCATTGCATTAATCAAGGTTCTTAAATCTTTCAAAGTTGTTTTTCTTTTCTGTTGTATCAGTTGTTCTCCTTTACGTCGGTTCTTATTTAAAATATATCTCACAAAAACTTACATGTTGATACAAGTTACTGGGAGAACGATTATATTCTTTGGAAGACTATACCATGGTAGGTCCTCATTAAGTTTTTGTTGAACTGAAGTAAGTTAACTAGCTAAGAAATGTTGTGTAAGCAGATTAATAAATACAAAATATATACAGAGTTATTGAGTGAGGATGAGCACTAACAACTTGGAGGATTAAGAAAGACCATATTTAGGGGGGGTCACTGAGCTGAGTCTTGGAGGAGACTTGGAATTCTAATCAGCATAGGTAGGCAGAGAGAGATATCAAACTTGGAGCCATAGGCATACAGCCTGGAAAATTCCTGAATCAGGCCTGAACCAGATTAAAACACAGTTGAGAAATATTTGACAAAATAAATAACTATTTTTTTTAAAAAAGTATTTGTGGTTTTCCAAGTCAGAATGTGGCCTGCAGGGGGAGTTTGATGCAACTTGTGTAGGCAGTGGTGGGGGAATAGCCTGTGCAAATAAAGACAGTGAGGTGGCTGCTCAGACGTCGCATAAGATGAATGGCAAGTAGGTGAATTTGGGTAGAACAGAGTGTACGTAAGGGGGAGTATGTGAAATCCTGTGGAAAGATAGGCTGGCTAGACCCAGATTGTGAGGAACTCATACTGGCAATAGAGAATCACGGAAGCTTCTGTAGTGGGAGAGAAACACTGCCAATCCTCTGCTTTAGGAATCTGTTTGGAGAAATCTCATGGAGAAAGAGGAGCCTAGAGGCACAGAAACAAATTAAGAAGCTATTATATTGGTCCAATTAAGCATTGATAAGGTTCTGAAGTAGGTAATCGGAATGAAGAAATGTGAGTGAATGACAGATACTGTGTGGAGAGAGGTGACTGAACCTGGTAATTGCTTGAATATGTAGATTGAGGGAGAATGCATAAGAAACTTGAATTAAAAGTAAAAAGATATTTTTAAAAATTCAGTTTGGTCTCCACATCCATAATGAGGCTATATTTCTCAGAAACAGTAATTTTACTCATTGTATGTATCTGCCTACTATAGCCATAGTAATAATTACTAAAAAAAAAAAGTAGTGATATATTTCTTCCTTAAACAGCTCATAGTTTATATAATTTAATTAAATATTAAATATTGTAGATGTTGGACATAAAGAGATAAAAGTGTCAGGCTAGTAGTTAGTATAATGGAAAAGTTCAGGATTTGGGTTAAGAAGATTTGGATTTATATTCCAACTTGGCAATTTTTCTGTGACTTTGGGCCACAACCTGAGAGATTAGACTAGATACCCTGTTTAGTCTGTTTCAGCTCCAAACACAGGAATTGAGAATGATCCTATAACAACTACTGCTGTTGTCATAGGCAAGTCTTTTGACTCAACTTAAGCATCTGTGCCTTTCTTGTTTTAATGTGGTCAGCATAATATTGGAGAAAATGAGCCTAAATGTGTTGTCTCCGGTTGGAGATAATTCTCCATCACGCAGAAGGATAATTCTCCACATTTCAAATAGGAGTCATCAGGAATTTCAAATTGATGGATTTCCCTTTGCGTTTTCATTGCTCCCTTTAGACAATTCCTACAGTGAATAGAGTGCTGGTTCTGGAGTCAAAAAAACCCGAGTTCAAATGCGGCCTTGGATACTAGTTATTAGATGTGTGACCCTGGGCAAATTCACTTAACCTCTGTCTCCGTTTTCTTAACTGTAAAATGGGGATAATAATAGCACTTACCTTCCAGGATTTTTGTGAGGATCAAATGAAGTAATATTTGTAAACTGCTTAGCACAGTGTCTGGCATGTAGGAGGTGCTTTATGCATATTTCCTTCATTCCTCATTTAAATAATTTCTCTGTGTCATCAGAATTACATCATTGAAAGTTTCTCATTCCTTCTCGGCTTGTATAGAATTTTGAGTTATATAATTGTACTTATCTTTCTTCTAAACCCTTGAACACTTTCTCAAAATTTAGAGTTCAAGTTGGATTGTGCCTAGTTTTTCTCTCTTCTATCACAGATTATAAGGTGGAGAAGTAGTCTCTTCCCTCCCAAGGATTCTGTCTTTTATATTTAACAACCATTTCCTCCTTGTTGGGGAAAATCAGGTTTACAATAGTCGTTTCCATTGTTGCTTCCTCCCCAGTTTTGAAGGATGAAATTATTAGCTGCTCTGCTTTTGAAATTATATTAGATAGCTGGATAATTTCCTCTTTCCATTGAGGAAATCTGTAGCATATTCTGATGATAATATTGCTTCAGTTTCTGCTTGCTATTGATTTTTACTGGAAGCAGGGCATGGTTTTATGAACTTAAAAAAATCCCTTTCGATAATTGTATTTGATGTCATTGGTTTCCATTTTAATCCTATGTATTTCATTTTGAAAGGGGTCCAGGATATAAAAAAGATAAAGACTTCCTTTAAAGACTCCCCATGTTCCCCTCTTCTGGTTTCAGGATTTCCTTCGATGAATATATCTTTATGTGTAGTGTTTACCAGCATTCCCCACCCCTTTAGGCATTCTTCTTCTTTTACTTAAGAGCCGTGTACCCTTCTCAGATTTGATTCCACAAAGTTTCAGTGATATGAGGTCGAATTTGCCTCCTTGCATTAAGATGTCTAATTTATTTTCTTTGATACTCATGTATTGTATATTATGTGATCAGTCTACAAGTATTTATTAAAGGCCTGCTGTTTGCCAAGTCCTGTGCTAGACTTCGGGGATATAAATGCAATGAATGAAACAATCTTTACTCTTAAAGAATTAACATCCTTAAAGAATTTACAAAAACTATGCATACGAAGTAGCTAGATATATTGATCTTTACAGCTTCAGACTTTACTTTTGTCATCAAATACATTGGCAGCTGAGCTTTCTTTTGGCTTTGATCTAGCTACTTTATTAGTGTTGGAGGTTCTGGTAATTGTCCCCCACTCTTCCATAGTAGTGTATTGGACACCTAATGGAGGCTTATCTTCAGATGTCGTCTCTTTTATCGTTTTAATACTGTCCATGGGGTTTTCCTGGCAAAGATACTGGAATGGTTTGCCATTTCCTTTTCCAGTGGATCACCTTTTGTAA